TTTTTTTTTTTTTTTTTGGTACCAGGTATCAAACTTGGGTCCTTGCACTTTAAGGGTAGGCAGCAGAATCACTGAGCTAAATCCCCAGCCCAACAATGTTGCATTGTACTATCATAGAATACAGGAAGACTGTAACAAATACAGGAAGAATACAGGGAGACATTAATGAATCTACTATCATAGCAGGAGGTGTCTGACATAGTCCTTTAAATTACTGGGAAGTCAAGCTAGTGCTAATTTTATATATAATGTGAGTTTTCCATTTAAAAGTAGAAAAATATACATTTGCCAAACACACCAGAACATTCATAAAAATTGATCAAATATTGTGCCAAAATAAAACTCTCAACAAATTTCAAAAAATAGATCATTAGTAACATACTAATATACACTTTAAAAATATAAACAGTGGTCCACCTGTAATCCCAGCACTCAAGAGGATGAAGCAGGTGGATCACCACAAGTTCGAGGTAAGCCTGGGCTACATAATGAGTTCAAGACTACCCTGAACTACATAAGGAGATCCTGTCTCAAATAATAATAATAATAAAATAAAAATACATAAGAGAACATGGTTACAATATTTAAAACTCATTCAATTATAAAGTCCTGCCTTTTCCCATCCCCTTTTGTTTTGTCATAGCATGCCAGACTCTTCTTTTTAAAGAATTTACAGTTAGCTTTATAAACATTCATTTTTGCTCCTTGTGCGGTTTTTTTCTTGATGTGTTGACATTTATTCCGAGGCCTTGGAAGCTTGCAAAGATGCTGGCTTGGTGAAATCTCTTGGAGTCTCTAATTTTAACCGCAGACAGCTGGAACTCATCCTGGACAAACCAGGACTCAAACACAAGCCGGTTTCCAACCAGGTACAGCTAAACAGCTCCTCGGGTTGTGGGGTGGGACCCAATATAATATTTAAATAACAAAAAGAAGACTGGATTATGAATCAGGAAGTTTTCTGATTGCTCGGCATAAATCTCATCATATGAAGACCCTGGTGGGCCAATGTAGTAATATCTCTCAGTTTGCATCCTTAAGAATAATATTTGATACTTCAAATCCAGAAATCAAACAAAAATAGATCATTATATTTTTTAAATAATAGAAAAGGAGTTCATATCATTATGAATTAAAGTCCTAATTAAAATCAATGGAAAAATCACTAAATCTCAAAAGTAAAATGAGCAAAAGAAATGGACAGAAATTTGCAAAAGACTAATTGCAAGCTGGTAAACATGAAAAATGTTTTACTCATTATTAATTAGAAAAACAACTTTAAAGGTGATTTTGTATTGCATGCTTTTGCATTATGTTTTATTGTAATGCTCCAGGTAAACTAGTGATAAAATGATGGTGAATAGAAACTGGTTCAGCCTTACTGGAAAGCAATTTGACAAGTATCAAGAGTCTTTAAAAACAGTCCACAAGCTTTTATTCTTCAGAATCTGTCTCTATTAGTCAGCTTTCTCTTCCCTGAGACACAATACTGGAAACCCACAATTTATAAGAGAGGCTTAATTTGGCTCACAGTTTCAGGGGATTCAGTCAATGTTTGGAAGACTCCAAAGCAGGATAACATGGTAAAAAAAATATGCCAGAACAGAGTTGCTCAGCACATGGTATCCCAGAAACAGAGCAAGGGAATAGTGCCAGAGAGGAAAGGGCAAGGGACAAGACATAAACCCCAAGGCCATCACTCTGTAACACCCAGAAGCATGCTCCACCAATCTTGCAGATGGATCCCACAATCAAGTTGACACTCCACCCTACCACATCCCACTCTTGTCAACAAACACCTCTTTATCCCATACTTCATCTCCAAATAAAGACAGTAAGTTCATAATTTTGCCTAATATATGCAGCTGTCCCAGGTACAATTGGAAATGCAGAAATCCTTTCCCCAGCATTTTTCAAAAGTGCAAGTCAAAATATCTTCTAAGACTCAAGGCATACTCTTACCTGCAAAGCTCTATAAAAATAAAAAACAAGAATTCCAGGATGCAAAGTGGTATAGGGTAAACATTCCAATTTGAAAAGAGAGGAATAAGAGGATAGAAAAGAATTGTATCAAAGCAAGAGAGAAATCCAGCAGGGGAAATATTAGGTCCTGGGGTTCCACATCTGGCACTCAGTGGTAAAATGTAAGTTCTATAAGGCTTAGGTGGCTTCACCCATACGGCCTTAGTGGTTGCAGCACATACAGCCTCCATTTTAGATTGGCTCCATTCATGGCCTCGAGCTTTCCTTGGCACACATTCCACATTCCTGGCATCTCTGATTTCCTGGGTTCTCTATAGCCCTTTTGCCTGCATTCCCATAGCTTCACAAACTGCCCTCTAGAGGCTCTTTGCCAGGTCTTCCAGTCTTTCCTTTGAAATCTGGGTGGAAGCCTTCCTGACCTCATAACTCTTGCATTTTTGCATACCAGTAAAACCAGCATCACATGGATGATTTCAAGGTTTGCCACCAGTAGTATCTGGGACTTCCTTGTACTATACAGATATAGAGAAATAAATTCCTTAGCAGACCTTTCTCAAGGAGGCATTCCAGGAACTCTTTTCTCAAATGAAGAGTTTACACTTTTATACACTTTAGGTTGTGATGAATGGGGTCTTGCTGGTTTCTGTGATACTCCCAAGGCATTTTTCTTGACCCTAAACAAATCAGTTGGTTGCTTTCTTTTCAATGATGCTAATCTCTTAAGAAACCATATCTCCTTTGCCTGAACTTTACATATGATTCCTTTGGGGCCAAAATTTAAAGTTTGTAATTTTACTTCTTTGCTTTTTGTCCCTAATTTTTACTATTAAATCTGGCTAAAGACAGAGAGCAGTACCCATGTCATACCCAGAACGTTGGGCTGCTTTGAAATTTCCTCTGCCAGATCAATTAGTTCACCACCCTTACTCTTAATCTCTCACAAAGTCTCAGGACACAGGAAAATTTTTTGCCATCATGTAACACACGTGGCCTCTAATCCAGTTACCAATGGAATCCTCATTCTCAACTGAAGCCTCCTGAGCCTGGCCTTTACTGACTGCATTCCTGTTAACATTCTGATCTTCTGAGCTCTGACTAGAATCATGCAGCAAGCTCTGCTTATAGAATTCTCAGGCTTCTCTAGGCCACATCTCTAAAACTTTCCAAACACTACTACAAACCAATTTCAAAGGTATTTAAACCACATGATCAGATACAGACACAGCAATGGCACTGTTATTCTGATAAAAACTATTAGATGCTTGAATAGATATATGTGTATTTATCACAGTATTGTTTACAATGAAAACATGAAAAATTAAAAGAATGATTAAGACATAGCATGTGAAATCATAGCAAAGACGTTTTTGAATCATTTTTGGGGGAAAAAATAAATATGACATTAATGAGAACTGCTGGTAAAAATGCAATGTGGAGGGGATTATGATATTTACATTGGTCTTATTGAACATTTTTTAAAATCTATGTAAAATTGCATTTGACTACAAGGTCTTAATTATGTGCTCTGCTCTCCAATTCAAAATAGGTTGAGTGCCATCCATATTTCACCCAGCCAAAGCTCTTGAAATTTTGCCAACAACATGACATTGTCATTGTTGCACATAGCCCTTTGGGGACTGCTAGGAATCCAAATTGGTAAGTAATGCTGCACATCTCTTCAGAATGTATTTTCTTTGATATAGGGTATAAAACTAATGAGAATTACTTGATTGGAAAGGGTCTACATAGCTGTATAATCTTAAGGAATTAACGTTTTTATATAATTATCCATATAAATGAATTAGAGCTAAAAATATCTCACTGGGGTGTTTTAAGTGTTGATTACATAAAGTATATGAAGTATTCTCTAAGTGATATGTAAAAAGTGCTCAATAAATGTTAAATTATTATTTGATGAAGTTTTAGCCATATTCAAGATATACTGAACTATTTAATATCTATTTAATATTTAGTGGTGAAATTTCTATTATGTGGTCCACAAACTTAAGCAGAAAATTTTCTCTCTGATTCTGAGAGTTGTGGCTCTATTTGTTCTTCTCTAGGGTTCCTGCCTTTCCCCATTTGTCTACACTTGACCCAGTTTTCAGAAAAAAAGTTTTTTAATCTCAAAGAGTCAGCTCCATAAATTAGCTTCTCTTGTCTTTTCCATTCTAAGAGCAATCTTCATTCAGTGATTTCTTTACATTTAAAAAAATGGCTACAGGTGATGTCAACTGTCCTGGTAAGTGACCAAGTAAGTAGGAGATGGAAGAGACTGATTGATTCACCTTTGGTTCTTATCATTGCAGTCAAGTATGATATATATTTTGATTTTTTAAAGGGTGAATATATCTGTTCCACCTTTGCTAGAGGATGCATTTTTAAACTCAGTGGCAAAAAAGTACAATAAGACAGCAGCTCAAATTGCTTTACGTTTCAACATCCAACGAGGGGTGATTGTTATTCCTAAAAGCTTTAACCCTCAAAGAATCAAAGAAAACTTTCAGGTAAGACAATCACTTTAGAAACTTGGAAACATGGCTCTGTTTGTTGCTTTACTTTCAAAGAATATTCTTAGAAATTTCAATCACTAATTCCTAATGATTTCTCTATAACTTCAATTTTCAATAACCCCCTGCATTATCAATTATTTTCCTTTATAACTCCCAAAAAAGAAACTGTAATCTTCAATCTTAAAAAATAAAGTCTAATATACACCTCCTTTCTTCTCCACCCATTTCCACTTCTCTTTCCATTTATTGTAAACCCCAGAAAAGTTTCTTCTCATTTGCTACTTCCCCCACCTCCTCCAGTGTCATTTAAGCTTTTACCTTGACCATCTGAATAGAAGAGCTCTTCTGAAAGTCAAGAATTCCTTGTCCACTGGACTTTTCAAACAATGGGAGTGTTTTGTTTTGTTTCTTATTTGGTACTCAGGGCCTTACACTTGTCAGACTGGCACTGCACCACTGAGCTACATCCCCATTTCAATCAGTTTTAATACAATCAATGTTCTCTCTTTCTTAAAACATTTACTGTGATGGGAAAACATAAGAGATGCAGGTTTTGAAGGGGAATGTCAGGAGTTCAGTTTTGTAATATAAAATCCCCATTCACTTAAGGTAATTTCTGCAATGATAAAAAAAAAACCACTGAAAATCAATCCACATTAAACAAGGAAAATCATTGCATAGGTATAATGTAGAGAAGGAATATTTATAAGTTTATCTTAAATTGAAACAAAATGTATGGAAGCATGTACATTTTATTCTCAACAAAATTTAGGTTCCAAATGCCTATGTGCAGACTTCTAGGAAAAAGTTAATCAGTATTGATTTCCTATATGTTTGATAAAATTAGGTGATAACACAACTGTTATGTTCTATTTATTGAAATAGTCATGAAAAGAATAATTTTGAAAAAAATTAAAGGGCTTCTTTTGAGGAGGATTTTCAGTTCTTGAATTTTTTTTAAATTTTATTTTTTTAATACTGAACTAGATTTTAACCATGTTAGATATCTGTTAGATGCTTTTTTGGAAAAAATTGTGCCTGTTATTAAAAGAAATCGCCTAAATCACTCTGCTTCACTTTGTGAAATCCTGTATCTTTACAAGATTTCCTTCACTCTGCCATTTGGCTTAATTATATTTTCAAAGAAGTAGTTGACTGAGCTATCAGTTAACCAAAAAGGAAGATTGAGTAAGGATTCATTTTTAAGTGATTGTTTCATTCATGACTGCTTTTATATTATACAAATTTTTGGTCCCTTAAATATCTCATAAACACCAATACTTGTATGATAAATGATCCAGAAAAGAATTTTCTGAACAGAGTACTCAGAAATGACCCACAGAACAATTATGTTACATGTAAACTCTGAACAGTGATTAAATGAATTGTCAGCCTATATATTTTGTTTTTTCTTCCTTTCTTTCTCTTTTTTTTTTTTTTTTTTTTTTTTTTTTTTTTTTTGGTACTGGGGATTGAGCTCAGGTCCTTGCACTTGCAAGGCAGGCCACCGAACCGCTGAGCTAAATCCCCAGCCCAGTCAGCCTATATATTTTGATAGAAAAGGTCACTAAGATCACTAAGCTATTATGTAAGTAAAAGAAAGTTACAGAATAATAAAAATATGCTATCAGGGCACGTTTCCTTATAATATGTTTAATATCTGGGAAGAATGTCTGGAAAGGGAAATAAGATAGGAGAGTGAGTGGTAAGAGAAACTCTTCATAGATGACTGAGGTTATATTTATCACTTGATATGGAGTTTGTGAATGGAAGGAAATTTTTGTCAAAATTCTGTTGGTTGAGAAACAAATTGCAAACAGAAGCATTTGTGAACTGAGGTATTACTATATTTATGAGCTATTTGTATAATTAAAATTTATAAATCATTAAATACATTACAATGAACTTAGGTATAGAAAAATAATAAAGTAAAAGAGGTATTATAAACATATAAGCTAAATACAACTGAAAATATATTAAAATGCTAATAAAGGCCATAGAATAAAATCATAGTGTAAACAAAGTATAAAAACTAAGAAAAAATATTTACAATAAAAAAGTAAAAGTGACATTGAAAATTATGAGAGAAAGGATTTCAGAGATAAAATAAATTAAAAGTTAAAATAAGCAAATTTAGAAACTAGGAACTATTTTAAAAAGAAAAGTATATGACAGTAGGATAGAATTAAAACTTCAGCATCCTATGTGAAAATCATAAGAATTCTTTACCTGGGGTTTTCAGATTTTTAAACATATGTTGTTTCAGAATATTAGAAATTTCTTGCAAGATATTCCCAACAGGGTTGTCTCAAACACAAAGGAGAAAACAAAGTTTTCAGCTCCACATTGGTGGGTGGTCTCCAACACTAGCCCAATTCTTCTCAGATATCTACAGAGATGGCCACCCACCTTTAAAGAGCTCCCAGTGCTGACTCCCTTCTGCTTCTAATCTTGTTCATTTTCTACCTTCAAAAATGTTCTGTTTTATTTCCATTATTTCAGATCTTTGACTTTGCTCTCACTGAAGAAGAAATGACAAACATTGAAGCCTTGAATAAAAATATCCGCTTAGTGGAGCTGCTTATGTAAGTTCTGGAGGAACCCCTGATTGGGCATTGCCCTGTAGTATTGTCAGCCATAAAGGATGCTACATAGAAATTCCATCTGCATCCATGGGAAGTGTCAGGATAAAGTAGGGACAGCATGTTCTGAATATCAAACACCCATGTATGTGAAACACCTTCTATAGGAACCTTCTACACCGTAATTCCACTTGAGAGAGTCTGAACATTTCTGATATTCCATGACTTAGGTTAAGACACGAAGAAAATTAACTCATAGTGTATACATGTGAAAACAACTGGAGCACAAATATTGAACTAACATGTTGCTTTCTTCCTAAAATTCAGATTGATGTACAAATAAGTGCAAATTTATGAAAAGTATTTCTGAGAAAAAGAAATGATAATCTAGGCAGAGCACCAGGTTGGTAAAAAAGAACCTAGCATTACAAATACTTTCTTGCCTATAACATGTAAAGCTTTTAGTTCCCCCTACTAACTTCTCAGCAGAATTTTTCACTTCTTCAAGGTACAGCCAAGTACAGCTAACCAACTAAAGTACCCCTTCATTCCCTAAATATTGCAGGTCTTTTAAAAATAAAATAACATTGGGCCAGGATTTAGCTCAGTGGTTCCACCACCTGTCTTGCAAGTGCACGGTCCAGAGTTCAAACCCCAGTACCAACACAAACAAACAAACAAAATAACATTAAAGGAGGAATAGAACTGGCAGAATGCATTAAGAAGCAAAATCCAACAATATGTTGTATACAAGAAACACACCTAGTGCAAAAAGAAGCCCATAGACTGAAAGTGAAGGCATGGAAAGCAATTCTCCATGTGACAGGAGCCCAGAAAAAAGCAGAGGTAGCAATCTTATTCACCGACAAAGTAAATTTAAAACCAAAACTGATTAAAAGAGACAAAGAAGGCCACTACATCCTTATAAAGGGAACAATTCAAGAGGAAGAGATGACAATCATAAACATATATGCACCAAATACGAATGCCCCCAACTATATAAAAGAAATATTAAGAAACATGAAAAACCAAATAAGCACTAACACAATTGTAGTGGGGGATCTAAATACCCGCTTTCACAAATAGGCAGATCTAGGCCAAAAGTCAACAATGAAATACTAGAATTGAACCAAGCTTTTGAAAGCATGGACTTAATAGACGTTTATAGAGTGTTCCACCCCACAAAATCAGAATATACATTCTTTTTGGCCGCATATGGGTCATTCTCCAAGATAGATCACAAACTAGCTCACAGAAGAGTTTTGAATAAATGCAAAAGAATTGAAGTTATTCCCTGTATATTATCAGATCATACTGCAATCAAGCTGGAGATCAATAGCACAAGAAACCACAGGAACTTCACAAACACATGGAAATCAAACAGCACTCTCCTGAACAATCAATGGGTCACAGAGGAAATTAAGGAAGAAATCAGACAATTTTTGCAAATAAATGAAAATGCCAATACAACATACAGGAATCGATGGGACACAATGAAAGCAGTTTTATGTGGAAAATTCATAGCACTGAATGCCCACACTAGGAAAACAGAGTGAGCTCAAATAAACAACCTAATGATGAATCTTAGACTCCTAGAAAAACAAGAGCAAGAAAAACCCAAAGTTTAAACAAGAGAGGAAATTATAAAGATAAGAGCAGAAATCAATGCAATGGAAACTAAGAAAACAATACAAAAAATAAATGAATCAAAGAGTTAGTTTTTTGAAAGAACAAATAAAATTGATAAACCCTTAGCTAACCTTATCAAAAACAGGAACGAAAAGGCTCAGATCCATGCAATTAGGAATGAAAAAAGTGAAGTCAGAACAGATCCAACAGAAATCCAGAGGATAATCAATACCTACTTTGAGAACCTGTACTTTAACAAAATGGAAAATACAGAAGAAATGGACAGATTTCTAGATACTTATGAATTACCAAAGTGGAACTAAGATGATAAAAACATTTAAACACCCCAATTATAATAAATGAAATTGAAAATGCAATTAAAAATTTACCAACAAAGAAAAGCCCAGGTCCTGATGGATTCACTGCTGAATTTTACAAGACTTTTAGAGAAGAACTACTGCCATTACTCTTCAAACTTTTCAAAGAAATTGAAAGGGAAGCAATACTTCCAAACTCTTTCCTGGAAGCAAGTATCACTTTGATTCCCAAAACAGGGAAAGATGCAACTAAAAAAGAAAACTACAGGCCAATGAATATAGATGCAGAAATCCTTAATAAGATACTAGCAAACAGAATACAGAGGATCATCAAGAAGATCATACATCCTGACCAAGTTGAATTTGTCCCAGGGATGCAAGGATGGTTCAACATACATAAGTCAATAAATGTAATACACTATATTAACAGAGTAAAGGACAAAAATCATATGATCCTCTCAATAGATGCAGAAAAAGCATTTGACAAAATTCAACACCCATTCATGATTAAAACCCTGCAAAAAATTGGAATAGATGGTCTATATCTCAATTTAATAAAGGCTATCTATGAAAAACCAACAGCCAACATCACATTAAATGGCCAAAAACTGAAAACTTTCATGTTAAAATCAGGAACAAGACAAGGATGCCCAATATCACCACTCCTCTTCAATATAATTATAAAAACACTAGCCATAGCAATTACACAAGAGAAAGAAATTAAAGCAATAAAGATAGGAAAAGAAGGAGTTAAATTGTCATTATTTGCTGACGATATGATACTCTATGTTGAAGACCCAAAAAACTCTACCAAAAGACTTCTAGACTTCATTGAAACTTTTAGCAGAGTAGCTGGATACAAGGTCAACACCCAAAAATCAATAGCCTTCTTGTACACAAATAACAGTCACTGAGAGAGAAATTAGGGAAACAATTCCTTTCACAATAGCATCCAAAAAAATGAAGTATCCAGGAATCAATCTAACAAAAGAAGCAAAAGACCTCTACACTGAAAACTATAGCACTCTGAAAAAAGAGATTGAAGAGGATATAAGAAAATGGAAAGATCTCTCCTGCTCCTGGGTAGGAAGAATCAACATAGTAAAAATGGCCATACTACCAAAACTGCTATACAGATTCAATGCAATGTCAATTGAAATTCCAACACTATATTTCAAAGACCTAGAAAAAAGAATCCAAAAATTAATTTGCACCCAGAAGCGACCTAGAACAGCAAAAGCCATCCTAGGCAACAGAGACATGGCAGTGGGTATAACAAGTCCCAATTTGAAATTATACTACAAAGCCACTGTGATAAAAAGAGCACAGTACTGGTGAAGAAATAGATCTGAGAATCAATGGAACAGATTGGAAGACACAAAAACAAATCCAGCTGTACTCAGCTACATCATCTTTGACAAAGGTGCTGATGATCCTCAGTGGAGGAAAGACAGTCTCTTTTATAAATGGTGTTAGAAAAAATGGACTTCAACTTGCCAAAGATTAAAACTGGACCCTTATCTTTCACCATGCACTAAATTAAAATCCAAGTGGAGTAAGGATCTAAACATTAAAACAGAAACACTAAACTTGCTGGAAAATAAGTTAGGCAGAACTCCTGAAGACATTGGCATAGGAAAAGATTTTATGAACAAATCCTCAGTAGCATGGGAACTAGCATAAAAAATCAACAAGTCTGATCTCATCTTATTAAAAAGATTCTGCACTGCAAAAGAAACCATCAACAGAACTAAAAGACATCCTACAATGTGGGAAAAAAATTTTACTAGCTGCTCCTCAGACGAAGGACTACTATCGAGAATATATAAAGAACTCAAAACAATCAGCCCCCCCAAATATAAAGACCCAATTCAGAAATGGGCATCTGAAATGAACAGATATTTCTCAGACAAAGAAGTAAAAGCAGCAAGTAAATATATGAAAAAATATTCTACATCATTGGTTATTCAGGAGATGCAGATGAAAACAACAGTGAGATTCTACCTCATCCCAAAAAGAATGTCTGTTATCAAGAAATCAATCAATAACAAATGTTGGTGGGGTTGCAGGGAGATAGGAACCCTTCTCCATTGTTGGTGGGAGTGCAGATTGGTGCAACCTTTGTGGAAATCAATATGGAGATACCTCAAAGAGCTGGGACTAGAGGTTCCATTTGACCCAGGCATTCCTCTGCTGGGTATCTTTCCAAAAGAATTAAAAGAATCATATCACAGTGATATATGTGCACCCATGTTTATAGTGGCACAGTTTGTAATAGCTAAAACTTGGAAATAGCCCATTTGCCCATCAGTTGGAAACTGGATAAAGATGTGGTTTTTCTATAAAATGGAATACTACTCAGCCATAAGAATGAGAAATTAGATTCATTCATAGGAAAATGGATACATATTGAGGATATTCTCCTAAGTAAAATAAATAAGTCACGGGTATAAATACTGAATAGTTTTTCTGGTATGAAAAACTATAACAGTAAATAAGTTCCTAATGATATAATTGACCATGTGAAATAGGACGAAAAGGGCTAAAGGTGTAAGGAAAATGGGAAGGGTAGGGGAAAGATAATAAGGGAAAAGAAAAAAATATGACAAAATGAAAAAATGGGAATAAAGTGTTTGTAAATGGGGAGGAAAGGAGGGGGTGAAGGGAGGGCAGGGATAAGGGAAAAACTGAGAACCAAGACCTGTCATGTGAAGGTACAAGATCCCAATAGTGAACGTAATTGTACTGTATACCTTAAATGCACCAATAAACTCAATAAAAGGAAAAAAATTAAAAAAAATAAAGTAGGAATAGAGCTCAGAGGTAGAAGGCTGGCTAGCTTCTGTGAGGCTCTGGGTTTGATCTCACCACTACAAAAAATGAAAATTATATAGTTTATACATCTACACAAAACATATATTTATATACCAACACAAGCATTTTACTTCTTAGTCTCATTAATCTCTCCAATTCTTCAAATCACCTCTACAATCCTTTTTTTTCTTTTTTTGGCAACCTTTTCTTCAACAGATCATTGATGAAAGGCTTATTAAAGTGATCTATAGAATTTGGATGCCTATCTATTTCTATGGCTGAATATATACACTCCAGACTCAGGCTCTTTGACTATTGTTATTTATTTATTTAATCTTCATTGAGTTTATTGGTACATTTTAGGTACAGTTACATTCATCTTTGGGATCTTGTACCTTACACGACAGGTCTTGGTTCTCATTTTTTCCCCTTGTCCCTGCCCTCCCTTCACTCCCTCCTCCCCTTCACATTTAAAAACATTTTATTTCCATTTTTTCATTTTCTCCTATTTTTTTCTTTCCCTTATTACCTTTCCTCTACTCTTCCCACTTTCCCTACACCTTTAGCACTTTTCTTCCCATTTCACAATTTCAGTTATGTCATTAGGAATCTTATGTACTATTATATTCACTCCAGAGAAACTTCAGTTGGTACACATGTGTGACTTATTTATTTCACTTAGGGGTATATTCTCAATATGTATCCATTTTCATATGAATGAATCTAATTTCTCATTCTTTATGGCTGAGTAGTATTCCATTTTATAGCAAACCACATCTTTTTATCCAACCTCCAACTGATGGTCAAATGGTCTCTTTCCAAGTTTTAGCTTTTACAAACTGTGCCACTATAAACATGGATGTGCATATATCACTCTGGTACCAATCCTTTAATTCTTTTGGAAAGATACCCAGCAGAGGGATGGCTGGGTCAAATGGAACCTCTAGTCCCAGCTCTTTGAGGTATCTCCATATTGATTTCCACAGTGTTTTCACCAGTCTGCACTCCCACCAACAACGGAGAAGAGTTCCTTTCTTTCCCCAACCCCGCCAACATTTGTTACTCTTTGATTTCTTGATAGCAGCCATTCTTTGTGGCGTGAAGTGGAATCTCAGTGTTGTTTTCATCTGCATCTCTCGAAGGACCAGGGACTATGGTTATTTAAAAGATAAGGTTAATCTTCATCACAAGTAATATTACTTTTCATGAAAAGATAGGGAGGCAAGATTCACATGTGTTTTCCTTCTGGGTGAAATGTTGGTGTGCAGCAACCAACCTTTCTATACCCTACCACACACACTCACACTCACATGAAGGTGCTCTCCAGAGTTTCGGGAACACAGGGAAAGGGAGGACTGTGAATGAGAAATAAAACACAAATGAATGTGAATGTGGCTAGTAAAGTGATTAAAGATGCTAGTAACATAACTGTGCCACTTGTGGAGTGAGCTGATTGCTTTTGTTTTGACAGGTGGAGTGATCATCCTGATTACCCGTTTTCTGATGAATATTGACTTCAGAGAATTTGATTTTTCTCTCTACATAGTTTGATTTAAACTGGGTAGTTCCCACAGAAGTGGAAACAAAAAGGGTTTTACTATCTTCAGAGGACTTAGTGAGAGAAAAATGCCACACTTAACTTTTATATAGTGAAAGTGGCCTCTACTTATGATGTCCTTTACGGTGGACCACTACAGTGCTGAAGATTGACTCACTAAAGTCAGCCATACAAGTATTCCATGTCTGTGTGACCAACTCTAGTAAGAACACTGGACCTCAATCACTGCTGGGATAATTAAACACTGCTTATACAACTCTGTTGGAAGAAAATAACCAGAAGTTTGTGCCTGGTCACCTTCCTTGACACTACCCTATTCTCCTTTTAGTGTGGCTAATATTAACCTGTATCATTTTACTATAATAAATGATAGCTATGAATGTTACAGATTTCCTTGATTTTATGGGCACTTCCAGTAAATCATTGAACCTGAGGATGGTCTTGGGGACTCCTTACCACATATATACTTAAAAGAAAATCAAACAAAATGCAAGAACTTCTCTGGGAACTAGGTAATTCTTGAACAATCCTGCTAAACTAATAGTTCCCAAATTTTTTGGCACCAGAGACTAGTTTTTTGGAAGACAAATTTTTCATGGTCAGGGCAGTAGTTTGGGGATGGTTCAATCACATTATAATTATTGTGCACCTTATTTCTATTATTTATTACATTATGATACATAATAAATAATTATACAACTCATCATAAAGCAGAATCAGTGGGAGCCCTGAGCTTGTTTTCCTGCAACTAGATGTTCCTGCCTGGGGGTGATGGGAAACAGTGACACTTGAAATGTGTTGTTTGTGTCCAGCCTACTCTACTTGTTTTGGTTGGTGTCACTACAGAAAACCCTGCTTCACAAAGATAGGATGTTGGAAATGGAGGCAGGTTTTTCAGTGCTTTTGTTGCTGTAAGAGCCTGACTGAACCACAGCGACTCCATGTTGACGAGCAAATGACTTAGAGACTGTCACCCCCCCATCCCTTATAGGATAACTAATGATTAATTGTGAATTATAGGTAACTGCTTTGAAGTAGCTGGGAAACTGTAGTAAACACAGAGACCCAACATAAATCACACTCCTTGCTTGCCTGTAGTTGAATATTCTGAACATTATAATCTAAGTTGTAAATGGAATAATGGATAATCGATCTGCTGATCATTAGTACGTGATGGTCAAGTATATGCTTGATGACTACTAGCTCAGATCAACTGATTCTTTGCCTTTGTCCTCTTCCTGTAAGTTTTAAGTGTAAACCCCCCCCCTTAGCCCTATATAAAATGGCCTGTTTCTGAGCTAGCTGCCTCTCTGAGCTACTTGGCTTCGGGAGTGCCATCTGGCCAGACTAATAAAGGTCTATTTGCCAACTTGCCTGGTGTGTTCTTTCCTGCGTGACTCTCGCTGTCCGACAAGCTCCTGGAGCCTCGCTGAGCTTCTGAGCCCAGCATCGTGAAAGCCTCTTGGCTGTTCACGCTCCAGGAGTAAAAGTGAGACTTAAGTCTTACAGTTGCAATCTCAGGATATTCCACCTAGACATTAACCCAGATCATCTCAAATATCTGGAGTTATCTTGTAAGACTTAAAGTCTCACTTCCACTCCACAGAGCGTGAACAGCCAAAAAGGCCTCCACGATGCTGAGTTCTATAGCCCAACAATGGCTCCGGAGGCAAGACCCAGGGCCTTACTTCTGCGAAAAAGGCCTCCGTGATGCTGGGCCCTAACACCCAGCGAGGATCCTAACCCCCAGCAAGACTCCAGGAGCTCAATGGAGAAATGAGAAATCCAGGAGGGAACACACCAGACTAGATGGTAAATAGACCATTATTAGTCTGGCCAGATGGCACTCCTGGAGCCAGGTAGCTCAGAGAGGCATCTGCTCAGGAACTGAGGTACTTTTTATAAGGTTTTTCTAAACAAAGAGTCAAGGAATTCACAGAAGAAGACTGCAAGCACATTGCTTATCTTATGCAGGAAATGTTCTATGGTCACCTTTTGTCATACCATTTGCCCCTGGGTGGGCTGTTAACCAAGGTAGCAATTAGCATATGAAGAAGCACAGTCTGGCCTATTAGCATGGAGTCACTTTAGCTTATTCAAATCTTACACATGGAGTCCATTCATCTGAAGTGTATAACTCAGTGAGTATCACTCATTTATGCACACCCAGAGGCAGATGAGCATTTCCAGCAATCCGGAAGTTCTCACTTGCCTTCTCAATCCACATCTTCCCTCCAGAGAAAGCACTATTATGACTTATCTTACTGCATTATTTATCAACATTCTTACCATAAAAGCTTCAGCTAAGTATAGTGTCCATTACAAAGTCATGTAGTCTAATTTTTGGGAAGCTACAAAAGGATCAGATCTTATTTTATTTTTAAAGCTATTCATGGAGAGACAATTTATGCTTAGTCCTTCTTTTATCCAAGTAAGATGCTTTTTAACTGTCTTCTAGTGTAACAAAAGAAAAATCCGAAGCTTCCTATTTGTATATATTAAAATTGATTTTCACCTGAAAATTTACTTACTAAAAACTTAGAAATAAACCTGCTCATTTACTACATTTACTCAGAAAATATATTTGCCAAAAATTTAGAAATAATCCTGCTCAATTACTACATTTATTAAACTATGGAAGTCTACTCCCCATAAATATAGCTAATGTATACTTTTTGTTACTTAACCTTGATCACATCACTAAATGACTATATCTCAAGTAATTTTGAATTTTTCATTTGTTCATATTTGCTGGAGGTTTTTAGAAATCTCTGCCTACCATTAGTTCCTTGTAACTGTTAAGCCACACTTATGGCTCACTAACTGACAAGGCCAGTGACTTGAGTTCAAGTTGCTGGGGCAAGGAAAAAGATTTGTGTGCAGCTAGCCAAACAACAACAACAAAAAAGATGAGGGCAATGACCAAAACAGACCATTTGCTCAGGGGTTGCAATAGAAGACTTACACAGTGGGAAGGCAAATTAAATAGACAAGCACCAAGTTAACTTTAAATTCCAGGGTGACTACAAAGTTCAGTGGTCTGTTTTTCTGACACATAAGCTGCTGTTATCTCTAGATCAGTGAATGTTCTGGATTTTGTAACATAAATCAAATTTACTGATTTGATAAGAGACAAGAAAAAATATGAGAAAAGGAAAAAATGGAAACAAAGTCTTTGTTAATGGGGGAGTGTGGAGGGGGTGAAGGGAGGGCAGGGGTATGGGGGAAAAATGAGAACCAAGATCTGTCATGTAAGGATACAAGATCCCAGTGATGAATGTAACTGTACTGTATACTTTAAAAGTATCAATAAACTCAATAAGATTTTTTAAAATTTACTGATTTGCAAATTTCATGACTCATGTGTTTTTTTCCCCAGAAGTAGTTAATTCTGCATTTAATTATGAGGACACAAAAGGCATTTTTTCCCCCAGAGAACAAAGACAGCAAAAGGCTATCTCCCTGACCCAGGACTGGGGAGATAGAGAAAAGGTAAATTTTCCCTAGATTACAGGAGTAGATAGCATTTCCTGTAGAAAAGTTTTAACCCATTAGGTGGCTTCAGTCATTGGTGTCATTTACAGCAAAGCTACTGGGGAACTAATAATCTATTGCATAATTGTGTGAATTCCAAAATGAGTAATTTTTTGAAGTCCACTAAGAAAAGTGAAGCTAAAGGGTTTAACTTTTTCTCAGTAACAATTTCAGTGTAACTATTTTTTCTAATTTTAAGCTGTATTGAGATATGACTCACAAAAATGTGTATATTTAAGGTGTCCAATATACCTATAAATGGTGAAATTATTTCCATAATCAAACTAATTACTATACATCTCTTCACATTATTACCTTTTTCTTTCTTTTCCTTTTCTGTGTAGATATGCAAGTGATTCTTTAATGCTGATTTGTTTTTCTGAAATATTGCTGAACTTGTGTATTAGTTATAGTTTTTTGGTTGACTCTTTAGTGTTTTTTATATATAAGTTCCTGTCAGCAATTTTCAACAACTTAACTTTTTTCTTTTTCTGCCCAATCATTTTGGTAGGGACTTCCAGTGCTACATTGAAAAGAACTAAAAATGACTGTGATATTGTGATATAATAAGAAATATTTATTTGGTTTCTGTCCTTAGAAGACAGCTCATTAGACCTTAGAAACTAAAGTGATGTGACTTTTTGTGTGATAATGAGATGACTGATGCTCTTAGATAACCACTGGTTGGGGGAAGCTAATTGCCAAGGGAACTGTATAACTTAGGGTTCACTAGAGGAACAGATCTATATCAAGGTAGGCTTACAATGGCCACCCAAACACCTGTGGGTGTCAGGTGTGAAAGAATGCAAAAGGACCATTACACCCTGGAAATCCAAAATATCCAGTCAAATGTTGAAGCCCTGAGTCTCACTGCAGAGTCCCATGTGAGTCTGTATCAGGAAGCTGAAGGGTCTGTGCTGCAAGGCTGAAGAGTCTGCATTGGAAGCCTGGAGGTGAACATCCAAAGTTGGTGACAAAGACTGGAACTCCTCCCAAGAAGGTGAAGCAAAACTTCCTTCTTCTTCCCCTTTTTATTCCATACAGGCTGCAAACCTATTTGCTGGTGCCATCCACATCCAGAATGAGCCTTCTCTCTTCAAAAGTCAATTGTACACACACACACACACACACACACACACACACACACACACAATTTAAACCAATCTTCCAGGTGTTTCTCATTCAAGTTGATAGCACAATTATCACACATTAGTTCCCTATTTCTGGCTGAAGGTTAATTTGGTCACCAATGGCCAATGATTTAATCAATTGTGCCAATGAAATGAGACTTCCACATAAAACCCCGAAATGACAAGGTTCAGACAGCTTCCAGTTACATGTCCATATACCCTAAGTGTAGCATACCCCAACTTCAGAGACAGAAATCCCTGACTTCTTAAGGTGTTGCCTTCTGTATCTGTTTCTCTGACTGTTCATTTGAATCCTTTAAGACATTCTTTGTAAAAACAATAGTAGAATGCAAATAAAGTGTTTTTCTGAGTTATTTATGCCACTCTAGCAAATTATTTGAACCCAAGGAAAAGTTTGTGGAAACTGAAATCTGTAGCCAGTTCATCAAAAGCAAAGATCCCAGCCTGGGGGTTACAACAGCTGTCTGAAGTAAGCAGAAGTCTCATGGGCTCCTTAACCTGTGGGATACAACTCTATTTCCAGGTAGATAGTATCAGAATTGAGTTAAATTGTAGAACATCTAGTTAGTATTTGGTGGATAATTGCTTTGAGTGTGGAGAAAAGCCACATATCTGGTATTCAAAGTGTTGTATTTAGGGGGTGTGAGAGCAGGGAAAACTAATTTGATTTTAGAACATTCATTCTTGACTTTATCTTATCAGAAAGCTAAAATCCATTCAAAATTGAGTACCATGTTAGCTGCAGGCTGGTTATATGTAATCTTTACTGTGTTGAGATACATTCCTTCTATATCTAATTTATTGAGGTTTTTTTTCTGGTACCAGGTATTAAACTCAGGACCTTGCACTTGCAAGGCAGGTGTGGTGCCACTGAGCTAAATCCTCAGCAAATTGAAAATTTTATCATTAAACAGTATTGTATTTTGTCGAATTTTAATGACCCCATGATTTGTCTTTCATCGTGCCAATATAATGTGTGACATTAATTTATTCAAATGTGTTGAGCCATTTTTGCATCCCAAGAATAAATTCAACTTGACTAAAGTGAATGATCCTTTTAATGTGCAGATGAATATGTCTCTCTGGTATGTTGTTGAAGATTTTTGCATCTATTCATTGGAGATGTTGGTCTCAGTGCTCTCATCTGGTTTTGAAATCAAAATAATTTCAGCTTTACAAAATGAGTTTAAAACTATTCTTCCTCCTTCAGTATTTTGTTTTATGTACCTTACTATTGATCTTTCCCAAGATTTGGAAAGTTTTTAGCCATCATGACTTGAAATAAATTTTCTATATCTTTCTCTTCTATAAAATCTGTAACA